TCTCTTATAGCTTGTCAATCTTTTTTTTTTTTCAAAATTCTTTTCAGGAACACGTTCGTCGTTCAGTCTAATATATTGCTGTTTTTACGCTTTTCAAAATGGGTTGTGGATTGTCCGAAAATGTGATTTGAATAGTACATGACTGAACTAAAAATCTAAAATCCAGATTCTGACTTTCTGTTTAGGCGTTACTTACTGTTATTGTTTTAGTGGTTCTCTGAGGTTTCTTTCCATAAAAACATCTTACATTCGAAGTGGTTTATTTCATTTTTAGTGGCTCATGGAAAGGAGTTAGAAATTTAAAGGACATTTGATTTGAAAGTGACCAAAAATCTGGAAGTTAAACTCTATAAAAATATGGTCCAAGGTGTTGTTTTAATAGACCTTATTCATCTGGTTTCTGAACCTTTCTCATGATTTCTTTTGGTTAAGCTGGCTGGAGCGTTTTTGGGGCATCACACCCCCGGTCGTGCTAGCTTTTTGTTGCTTCTGCAATAGCCTTTCTCTTGCAGCATTGTTCAAAAGTTGCAAATCTTGATCAACTTTTTGTATGCTTTTTCTTAAGGGTGATTTAATTGCAATTTTTTTTTTTTTTTGGGTCTTCTCTTCGGCCTATTTATTCAACTTACACATTTCTTCTTTTTATTGTTGTTATTGTAGGTATCGATATCACATGTCATACAATGAAGCCCTTAACGTTGCTGAAGGCGCAATCTGTCACGCAACCATCCACGATCCTCAGATGAGTACCGGTGGCTCTGTACTTCGTATGTACTCTTGATTAATTCTATAAGCTTTTTGTTTTCTTTTTTCCTTTATTTATTCCTTACTGAGTTTTTTTTAATCTTTTTTTTTGTTTTTGTTTCCGTTTGAAGTTTATCATATCGACCAAAGGGAGCAGAAGTTGGTTCGTACGCAAGAAATAGAGACGTCATCTATCTACCAGAGGATGCCTAAGCCATAGGAAGATCCGAAGATGACTAGAATGACAACAGAATCTGAGGAAATTAATATTATTGTTGTTGTTTTCGGACCCCAAAAAATTATTAAAAATTATCGATGTATTAATTTATATAAATTAATAATTATTAATTTATCGTTAAATTAATAATATTAATTTAAAGACAATTCCAAAGAATTTGTGTAATCCGAATTAGGCTTTTGAAAATTAACTTCCTAGATATTGAAATCCGTATGTTAGTTTGTTGGTTTATGGTTTTTTCCCTTCTATTAAAATTGTGAAATCCGAATGTATGGTTTCATTTTTTTTCCCATATTTAGTTTAATTGGTATAATTAGAATTGTAAATTGTGTATATATATGTGAATTATATATAGTTTAATTGGTACAATTAGAATTGTGTATATTTAGTTTAATTGGTATAATTAGAATTGTGAATTGTGTACATATAGTATGTGCATAGGATTGTACATCGTGGATGAATTAGGATGTGTGCCTTTCTTTTGTGTGGGGAAGGGGACAGAATCACAGTCTAGATAATGCATGATTGGTCGGTTGCATGATTAGTCTTTAAAGATGTTATTTTTTTTAATTTAGAGGTCTATTTTCTTAACTTTGTAGGATTGCAATGGTTAGCTCATCTAGCTCGCAATATAACCGTAAACATTTTCAATCGGGGCCGATATAAGAACAAGTAATGTACCTTCAAAAAAACCATAGGCCCCAAGCTGTCTTTGAGAACAAGATTCACAGCATTAAAACATTCTGCCTCAAGGGTCGTATACACGATAGCTCATTTTGGGAGATATACAATGATCATACGGCATCGGAGGTTAAGGAAATCATCAAAACAACTGGTTTTGAGGGAATAATGAAAGTAGGCTACAAAAGAGTGGATCTCGGTCTCATTACCGCGTCGGTGGAACGGTGGAGGCCAGAAATCCACACTTTTTATTTCAATTTCGGAGAGGCGACTGTGACACTATAGAATGTCGAGGTCCTCTTTGGTATCCGGGTGGATGGTGAGGCGGTGTACGGGACGACAGTTAGCCGGATTCCAGAGGAATGGCGGACGAGATGTGAGACTTATTTGGGATTCCTGCCAGCCACAGTAAATGGCCAATTTGTCAAGATTAGTGTTTTTGAGGATGAGATGAAACGTGCACTCCCTGAGGATTCCATAGTCGAGCGACTCGAACAAAGGGCCCGGACAATAATCCTCAATTTTATGAACAGTTTCATGTTTCCTACCAAGAGTCAAAACACTGTCAATCTGCAGTTGTTGGCCCAGGTTGAGGATTTGGAGCAGTGTTGTCGATACAGTTGTGGATCGGCCCTAATGGATTATTTGTACTATGACCTGTGCGAGGCAACCCAATACACCATGCACGATATCACTGGCTGTGTATATTTGCTACAGGTACGTATTATTTTCATTATGTGTTATAATTATTTTTGTTCTCGACATTATAATTTGAAGTGTTAACATTATTTATTATTGAAATTTACTAAGTATGGGCGTACGAGTGGATCTCGAGAATCGCACCAAAAAGAGTACCACTAGATTATATAGTGGATGATACCGCTTCATTAGCTCAACGATGCGTATTTTAATTTCAAAATAACTCAATGTTTACCCTATTTTATTCTTATTCATTTTTTTAATAATTAAAATGTAACCCTTTCGTGTTTGTTCATTAAGGTGGGAATGTAAGTATACCTACAAAGACATCCCAAGGAGCAGCTTGGCACCTTTTAGAGATCAATTAACAAGCCTGCGTCTTGGAGATGTAAGTGCTTAATTTGGTATTTATATTTATTTTGAATTTTTTTTTCGGTTATACCATTCAAATAAATTTATTTCGTGCAGTTTCTGTGGCTCAAATGATGAGATTGACATGGACGATACCCAAATCCTAGTTAATGACGAAACATCTCTACTCTCACAACCTGCGCCGGGTAAAAAAGCGAAATCGTGGCCAAGAGAGAAGATTGGAGGAGGAAGAAAATGAAAAATAATGATTCCACCTTGGTCATCGCAAGAACAAAATGAAGGTGACGGTTCAGGTAATCAACAACATTCTTTTAGAGGCTCGCACATCCAGGTCGAGACTCAATTTGAAGACATTGGTGAAGCTGAGACTCAATTTGAAGACATTGGTGTAGAGTCACAACAACAGTTGGGAGTCCTACTTCTCACCATGGGAGAGTCCCAATCCCAACCCTAACCCCAACCACAACCCCAACCGCATCAACAACAGGGTTCAATACTCACGTATCTTTGGAGGGAAGACATGATCCGCCAGGATCCAAATAAATACACTCCAGATGCGCGTAGGAAAGGAAAAGGGAAAAAATGAGCCCGTTGATATATTTTTACGTTGAAAGTAGTTTTTGGATTGATTTTGGATTGAAACTTGTTATGTTTCGTTGTTAATCGAATGAAGTTTATTGTTTTGTTGCCATTAGATTTATATTTTTCTATGTTTCATTGTTGTTGATGCTGTAAACAGGTTTCTGATTGGTTAAAACTAGTCTAATTTTTTTTTCAATTCTGACACAGATCCGGATTTCACAAATCCGAATTTCTGCTTCTGTAAAGCACTCGGATTTTGAAAATTTGAATGAATGGCTAGTTGGGAGTTCCAGTTTCTCAGAGAAATAGAAGAGATTCGGATTTTGGAAATTCGGCTTCAATGAAAGACAGATTTTGGTAATCCGCCTTTATTTAACTTCGAATTTCCGTAATACGTCTTTTACCAAAGAGGGGATCCGTATTTATAGAATTCGGTTGCACACTAAATTGGATTTTCATAATCTGAGTTTGCCCAAAAATATTTTCCAACACTTATAATTTTTTCATCCCACTGGAAATTAATATTTTATTAGTGAATTCGGATTTACGAAGTCCATCTTTATATTAATTACATTAAAGTTTTTCATTAATTTAATCTCTGATTAACATTACACATTTCAGTAATTCGAGTTTTGTCAGATCCGGATTTCAGAAATTCGGTTACCCCTATTCGGATTTCAAAAATCCGGGACACACAGTTTTGTCCACATAATTTATGAAAAGTTTTTTTTTTTGTCCAGGTCCTTAATGTGCAAACATAGTTAAGTCAAAAGCTCAGACAAATTGTGTACTTGAATGTTTCTTTGTATTAGATTATTTCTTTCAGTATTAAATTATCATGAATAGTACTACCTCTGTGTCCTACAAAAATAATCTAATTTTAAAAATTAAAAAATAAAAATTAGATGACTTAATCTTGCAAAATTGAATAAAGTTTCAAAACTATTTATCAATTTAAGAGTAAATTTAGAGTATATCATTTCAATAAGTTCAATTCGATGATATACCTTTGTAAAATATGGCTATCTTTTGGGACGAAATGAGTATCATTTCAAAATACAGGTCTTGTTTGGCCAATATTTTATTTTACCTTTTGTCTCATTTTACCTCTTAAAACACCTCTCAAACACAAATTCAATACTATTAAAATAACTTTTTAATTTACTTTTTAAAATTTATTTCAAACATTATTTTCCACAATTTTTATCCACAACCACCAGAATACTTCTGCCGCCGGTCGGATTCCGGCCGAATTCCGGCAAACTCGTCGGAATCCGGCCGGCCGGCCGCCGGCCGACGACAATTGGCGGTCCGATGGCGTCACTGGTGGTGGTGTAAAAATGCTATTATTTTATTTAAAATACTACCTAAACAAGTTTTAAAATTTTATCTCAAACCACATTCTAAATCATATCTCAAATTCAAGTAAAAAACTAAACTAAAAACTAAAACAAACCATTGTCTAAACAAGTCCAATAAAGAAATATACAGAAAACGCAAAAAAAAAAAAAAAAACATTCAGAAACACAATGTGTGGTTTTTGTTTGGCAAATTTTTATTACTAAAGGAGGAATTATTTTATTTAATGTAGATTGAGGGGCCTAGGTAATAAAAAAAACAATTACATGTTCCGTACATGCATTTATTCTTATCCATTTTTTCTTTTCATTGGCATTTAAACGAACGATCTTCGTCTTCCATGTAACCTTATTTTATTTGCTTTTGCTACTGTCAAACATGCCTCTGTTCAAAGATGACCAAGGCCCAAACCCTTTTCTTTTGAGAAAAGACCAAAACCCTCGAAGCCAGGTAAAAATCGTTTATTTCTCTTTGAGTATTGCAATGATGAGCTTCTTCTGCTTATTTGCTTCATGGGTTTTAATTTCCTTTGATTGAACCGGAAGCCCTTTTTATTTTTTTTATTATTTTTATTATGGGATTACAAAAGCTTGTTGATTTGATCGGATCAAAGCGATTTGAGCTTCAGTGTACATCGAGATTGTGTTTTTTTTTTTTTTTGATTAATTGAATGGCTTAATCAGCTTAAACCTTGAGTTAACAACGATTGTTTTCAGGCCAAGGAGCTAAAAAGTTTGAATTTTTTTGCTTATTTGAGAGTGGAAACTTATCCAGCTTGGAAGTCCTTCTTGTTTATTGAAGAGTTTTGAACTGTTTATACTGCTTAGGGTGTTTCTCACTTCCCATTCTGTTATGAATTTGTACAGTCTGTGTTGCAGATCATAGTTGGAACTGTATGCTGTTTAGCTTTTCTTCTTTGATGAATTCAATGGCTTAATTAGCTTAAACATTGAGTTAAACATGATTGTTTCCAGGCAAGGACTAAGAGATGTTCGTTTAGAGCTAAAAAGTTTGAATTTTTGCTTCTCTAAGAACGGAAACTTATCCAACTTGGGATTCCTTCTTGTTGAAGAGTTTTGAACTGTTTATATACTGCTTAGGGTGTTTCTTACTTCCCATTCTGTTATGAATTTGTATGTACAGTATGTGTTGCATATCATATCTGACGTCTCTAGTTGCCTCATTTGTTTGAATTAGAATGGTATATCTCCTAATTGTGTAGGTGCCTTTGAAAATAAGAGGCGACTTGTTGAAAACTTCGTGAGGAGTCGGAACTTTATGCTGTTTAGCTTTTCTTCTTTGATGAATTAAATGGCTTAATTAGCTTGAACCTTGAGTTAAATATGCTTGTTTCAAGGCAAGGAGTAAGAGATGTTCATTTAGAGTTAAAAGGTTGAAAATTTGCTTATTTGAGAATGGAAACTTATCTAACTTGGATTCCTTCTTGTCGAAGAGTTTGAACTGTTTATACTGCTTAGATGTTTCTCACCTCCCATTCTGTTTTGTACTAGTGCAGTTTGCATGTTGTGGATCGTATCTGACATTTCCAAATTGCCTCATTTATTTGAATTAGAAATGTGTATGTCCTAATTGGATAGGTGCCTGTGAAAATAGTAGGTGAGTTGGAAAACTTCGCGAGGAGTTGGAACTATATACTGTTTAGCTTTTCTTCACTTGTTACTGCTGCTGTCCTGAACTTGTGCGTTTTCCCTGTAGTGGATATTATCTAACATGTTGCAAGGTTGGTTCTCAAACGTGTTGGAGGTTTTTCCTATAAAGAACTGATATTTTCAGAAATAAACTGGAACTGGTAGTTTTGATAGAAAATCATGAGGCTTTTGGACCTTCATAGAATTTACCTAAACTCATCCATTCTAAATAGCTAGTTTTCAAAAAACGCATTGATATGGGGAATTGCAATAATTAATGCCCTTAAATAAAGGGCATTCACACCAAAACTGCAGCGGTTAGGTCCAGTGAAATTTAGTTGGCCTTTTGTACTTGAATTCTGGTGTTTCAAGCCACAATGGCTCATTTCAATTCCAGTGTTTCTTAATTTTAGTGCAGTTGCTGGAAATCAATGCATCAAATGCACCAATGCATCTTGGGTCGTACTTAAAACAGCCTCTCTGTATTAATACACTGGGGTAAGGCTGCGTACATATTGACCCCCCAGACCCCAACATGTTCTGGGCATATTGTTGTTGTTTTTCGCTTGAATGGTTGTCTTGGAACCAGAAAAAGTGTGGAACGGGGTTCTATTTACATGTGTCATGGGGTAAAAGAACCAAGATTCAGTATTTTTGACATGTTTATTTCTTTTTCCTTTTTATATATCTTTCTTCTTCCCCTCCACTCTGAGAAAAATTAAATTATGGCTGTTTAAATGAATGATTTTTCAGAATCTAACCTTGGTGAAAATTGTGGCAATGGCAAAATTTTATGAGTTTTCTGGACCTTGTTTTGTTCTTCCAACACGGCTGGGTTGTTGAACGGATGATTTGAAGTTTTATTTTGCCTTCTTCATTGTTTCAAAAGTGGCAAAGCTCTAGGCAGTGTCCGTTCCTATTCTTCATCTCATGAAAGACTAGATTTCTAACACTATACACCTGCCTCCACTGTTTGATAATTGGACCCACATGGAAATTTTGATAATCCTTGTCCATTGGAATGCTCCTGTGTAGTGTTTGTGACTTGTCAGTTAGATTTTAGTCATTTATGTAAAGACGTTACTATCTTTGGATAGGAGTAGTTGTGCTACTATTTCAGTGTATCAGGTCCTGTGGGAGTTTAGTCATTATAGATGCAAAATTATCACTAAAAAGGGAATAGTAAATCTTTGGCAAGGCACGTTCATTGTTGAACTGGATTCTTAATATGGTCTATCAATGAAGTTGGCCTTGTCCTTGAATCTTATTTTAGTTTTGTTCTTGTGAATTATATTTTGATTTGATTGGGTATATTTTGCGTGACCAAATGCTTATATTTCCGTGAAATTGTGAGAACAGATAATCTGGATCTACTTTCCCCTACCTTGTATAAACTGATTGTTGATGATGTTGTTGTTGAGTCTTTTGTAATAACTGGTTGCTTTAATATTTAAGCAGATCAGCTTATTTCTTTAGGAGGAATTTGATAATTTTTGTTATTTATGTATTGGAAAAGGAAAAAATGAGGAAAGATGTCAAAGTTAGAAAAATTTGTCACAAATAACATTCAGTTTTGTTATTTATGAAGCTCAGGAGATAATCGCCAACATACGTACTCTAATGGCTACTTTTCGGCTTTGCTTACTGCTAAAGGTAAACAGGACGGTAGTTCAGGATCTACACAATTTAGCTTGTGCAAAAATGCGGTGTACTAGTTTAGGTATCCCTTAATTAATCCAGGTACCAATTCAAAAAAAAAAAAAAAAAACATTCAGTTTTGTAATGAATGAGTCCAATTGCTGTTATGTTGGGTTTCTCCTTAAAAACTGGGCAGTTATTATGCGCTCTCTGTCTCTGTGTGTGTTCTCAATTTAAACAACACCACATCTGGGGTTTTGAACGGATAAGAAGTAGCATAGCTACGTGTATTTTGCTTCTTTTGAGATACAAAAAGTTGCCCTTTTATTTGTTCTTTATACTTCTGTGATGGAAAACTATAGTTTGTGACATTTCACCTGAGTCACTGAATGTACGCACTTTTTCTTTGTTGGTGGACCCCCTTATTTTTCCGACAGAAAATCTTTGATGAGGAAGTAATATAAAATATGGAATGGGCCGGTTAAATTTAAGTAGTTTATGGAGGTACGAAACAATCTTTGGTAATGACTATGGAGTAGGTATGCTCCTCTATAGTGTATATGACCGGTCAATTTGAATTTAGTCACTAATGTAGGTTGGAAACTATATCTGGTAGTAGAGGTACACTTATGCATATAGTGTATCACGCTGGTATAGATTTAGTTGCATCCATGTGGTTGCCTTTTCTCTCATTTCCTTTAGTTTTCTTGCCCTAGATTGTTTTCTTACTTCCTGATGTTGACTTGTTTATGTTCAGTCGTCTAGATATGATGTCAGAGCTTAATAGTAAATTTTTGTTTCTCTTGTGGCTTTTGTTTAGTTTGTCCATGTTAGCCTTTCCATAATGCTACCCGCTACTAGTAACAATTTTCATATCTCGGCAGATCTCGGTGTATTTGGAATAGGAATTCGATTGTTTTTGTTATTAGTTTAAAAACTAAAATAAGGGAACTGGCTGAAATTTGATGTTTAAGATTGTGAATCTTGTCAACAATCCAGTGGTTCAATTGCATTTGCTTGCAGTCTTATTAATGGGGTGCTGTTGATGTGGTCTTTTGGACTTCTAAAAAGGGCTTCAGGAGGGATTTACAGTCCCGGCTTAGTCAACCTTGTTGTAGTTGATTCATTCTTGTCATTTTGTTCTTGTAAATTGAATTTAGATGTGATTGGCTGTGTTTTGGGTAGTTTTTTGTGAACTGATCTACTTTCCATTTGTTTGTGATAACTGGTGTTTCTCATATTTGATAAGATCAGGCCGTTTCTTGAATATCAATCTTATTGCTTGTATAGTTAAGAATTTTGAAAAATTTATTGAACATTGACAACTCAGATTGTGGGACCTTGTCAGGATGATGTCATAAATTATGCCTCATATCATTAACTTCTGTTTGGTTGGAGATTAATTAGAATTGTGTGATTTGCAGTTGGAATACGAAAAGTGACCTAAAAAGTGTCTAAAGAGCTGATGAAGTGTACTTTGTTGAACTGGATTCTCATTTTTCATTTTGTTCTTTTGAACTGGATTTTGATTGGATTGCCTGTGTTTTGGGCACCTGAATGCTTATTTTTGCTTGAAATTGTATATTCGAACTGGACAAAGTTGACTTCTTTTGCAGTAATTGATGACATGATCATATAACCAATCTAACATTGGTGGAAGTTGTTATCATTTCCTTGTTTCTATTAAGTGGTTGCTATCATATTAACTCAGATCAGACAGTTATTGAAAAACTAATTTGACTGTTCTCATTATCGATGTTGTGATTCCAGAGGAAGGGATAACTAAGGTGAAGATCTGTCATGATTCTCTCCTCTCGCAAACACAACTTTGGATTTTATCACTCATTTATCTGTGTCATGAGTGTGTCCTAGCTGTTGAAGAAAATGACCCTAGGGTGTAGCATCTTCACTAAATTGACCTTGCCAAGCTGTATTGTATCTCCATTTTGTTTGAATTGGATTTTGATCAAGTCTAATGGGTAATTGAACACCCCTTGGTTTGTTGTGAATTCATGGAAGATGTGTTTTCTCTCATACACGCACATGCGTGCGCACTTACACGTATGCATATCATGTTCTTATTGATTTTGTTCCAGATGGCAATGCCGTCAGATAGTGCTGCTGCTGCTGCTACCGTCCCTAGTGCCGGGGTTGTGTCTAAAGCTTTTGTAGAACGCTATTATCGCATGCTTCACCAGTGTCCTGAGCTAGTTTTCTCATTATACAGAGATGAAAGCATCGTAACTCGCCCTGGTTCTGACGGCACTATGTCTTCGGTGACCACTATAAATGTATGAGATTCAAACTTTCTCATTTTATATATGCATATATGTAGATCAGAAGTCTATTTTCACTTCAACCTGGAGTCAGCTGTCACCTGATCTTTTGACTTGTATTTTTTATTTAAATTTTTTGGTGCTGCATCAATCAAACTTACATGTCTTCAACTTGGGCAGACAATCAGCAAGAAGATTATATCTTTTTTTGATTACAAGAACTGCAAGATAGAGATCAAATCAGCAGATGCTCAAAGGTCTTTGCAGCGGAGCGTTATTGTTGTAGTGACGGGATGTTTAACTGGAGCAGACAATGTGCGGCGGGAATTCATGCAGACATTTTTCCTAGCTCCACAAACGAAAGGATACTTTGTCTTAAACGATGTTTTTAGGTACATCAAGGAGCGCGAACCTGCTGAGGTTACTTCTGTATTGGGAAAAGGTGCTGCTGAAAACGTTCCTGTGACCGTGCCTTCAACGTCAGATACAGGTTGAATTAACATTTCTTGTCCCAAATTTGTATTGTGCTGAAGCAATGCAACTTGCTGGCTTATTTAGTTCTCGACTGTGGGTGTTTATTTTCAGAACCTGGTCTTGCTCCTGATCATTTCAAAAAAAAAAAAAAAAAAACCACTGGGGTTCTTTCATAAATATTTTCCCCATCATTTTTGGTGTCACGCCGGTCAAACGTTAATGTCTATTTCAACAATTGCAACCAACTTAAAATTTCCCGAAATGGAAACTACATTCAATTCACTTACGAGCTGCGAAGTCAATTTTGCTTTTGAGAGTTTATATGTGTTGAATGAATGAATGGATGCATGCATGCCCCCACGGTTTTGGAACCGCCAGTTCTGACTTAATAAAAATAAGAACCAGAACCGTCCCTTTATACCATAGTTCTAGTTACGATTCAAGAACTGTTGGTTCTGACTTCCTCCAAATGAACATAAAAATTAATAGACGACACACTAGAAATAAAATACAAGACTTGCAACGATGTTTCGTCTTTGATTTTAGCATAACACCTAGAACCTTACTAATACTATCATACAACAGTGAGAGATTCGGATTCTCGTTTTCTCTTCTCCACCCCGCTCTTTCATATATCATCCTAACCAAATCATAGTATGACAACATATGATTAATCACTATAGAATCGTCCGGCAAGTTGTTAAAATTATTCACGATGCCCTTTTCCAAAACAAACTTACTCGACCAATAGACATTAATAAAACATTGACCATTAAACGCCATCTATATCTGTTCATTACATGAAGGGACATTTGTCAAAACGAATAAACACTATACCGTAAACACAATCGTTAATACATTGTAATTAACACCAAAATTTACCACAATTCAGTAAACCTCAAATCCATAATTTATCACAATTAATCACAATTCACTAAATTTTATATTCAAAATTACATGTACAACAACAGTAATCAACAACCAACAACTTAACCAAAACCTAAGCCCTAATCACTTTTACACATTCACACTTCAGGTTTTAGGTATTATTCTCTCTTAAATAATTAGCGATGTGAGCTCTGAATGTTCTTGCGAATTTCATTTTAGCAGTAACTTTTTAGTTTCTTTTAACATAGTTATTTTTTAGAATATGACGCAAATCATCTCTTTATTCATATAATGTTTATAAAGATCTCTTGTTGATTTGAGTAAGTCTTAAGCACTGTTAATATATTATTATTTTTCACGTAGTTAAAATTTGGGGTATAGATGTCAAGTATTGTCCTTTTTAAAAATATAAAATAACTGAGTTTATTCAACATTCCACATCACTTTTCAAAAATAAAAAATAATAAACAAAAGGAATTTGATTAAAAAAGATTGTAAACAAAACCGCTACAATTTGGAAATAGAATTTAAAGCATAACAAAATCGGAATCTCGGTCCTATCTAGAAGAAGAGACAAGCAGGGGTGGACCATTGGTCGAGAATTTGGAAAATGATGATGATATGGAAATGGATTTGAGCGAGAATGAAGGGAATGTCGATGATATGGAAGATGATGACTATACATCAGGAAGTGAACAAAGTGATGAAAACCAATCATATTGGAAGGGAACGTAGAAAGTGATGAAGAGATTGGAGACAAATTCACCACTTCTGCATCGGACCGACACATTTATCGTACATAGGGTGAATGAAACCATATAAGTGTGGACATGAATGAATTTTGTCTTCCTAGATAGGATGTGACGCCAGCATCCTTAAAAAAAAGAACTTGTTTCAAGGACAAGATTGAAATGCACCAGGGTATTTGGTGTGGAACGTTGTCAAACACAGAGAGCATTTTGTGCAGGCGAGTGACCCGAAAACATAGTATGTTTGGTGCAAATCTCTAAAATACCCAACTCCCGAGGGCTATTCTCCATGCTAGTGGAAGGTACGTGCCTCGTCGAAGGATCACAGTTTATGGGAAATTGTGCAATGGTACGACGAACACAATTGTATGAATACCACCACTGAAAATAATAATCATAACGTGAGTGCAATGACAATTGCTCATCTCATTAGGAGTAAGGTTGAGCTCGACTTGGATTATGACGTGAAGTTCATTCAGGATGATGTGAAAACCCTGTTACACCGCGATGTTCCCTATCAAAGAGTGATAACACTTACATTTAGCCACTTTTAGCAAGCATTTTTATCATTTTTGCTTATAAATTAATGTCAATTAAGTAGAATTAGTTTACTTTTAGTTTGATTTTACATTTCAAGGTGATCAGAGGGCCAATGTGAAATTTGCTGGAAATATTGAGCCCAAAGGTGGAAAAAGAACATAAAAAGGACCAAAATGGATGCTGCTAAAAATAGGAGCTGGAGTTGATCGATTGAAGAGGAAGAAAGAGGCTGAATCCTTGCTGATGAAGTAAGAATGGTTGTATCATCATCAGAGTTGGTGATTCATGCAAGTTGTAGCCAAAGAAAGAAGAAGGAAAATGCATAACGGGAAGCTATTCTGCTGCCAAATTGCTGTTGACTGATGCTAATCAATTAGAGGAAAAGAGAAGCTAAAATCTTACTGCTGAAGGAAAGATTGCTGCACCACTATTGCAAGTTGCTGCTGCTGCAAGTGGAAGAAGAGAAGAGGAAAAATATGAGGAACAGAGTTGCAGCCACTCTGTTGATTGCCAATGCTGCTGCCTTTGATTAAAGCGAAAGAATAGCTGCTGATGAAGGCAAGATTTGGTGTTGCAGATGATCCCAGGAAACAAGAAAGAGAAGGGCAGAAGATTGGAGGTTCAATTGGAGGCTGAGACAGAAAGAAAAGAAGAGGGAACATAATGATGAAAGGAAGAAGGCTGATGATGCTGCTGCTTACCACCTCTACTACTGGGGGTTGAAGATTAAATAAAGAAGAAATGGAGGTTTGTGGCTGCAAATGATGAAGAGGCACCGAAGAAGAAGACTAAAGGAAAAGACAATGATGAGAAGAAGGTGGCTCTGGCAGTTGAGGAAGAAAAGGGCGGCCAATCAGAGGAAGGCAACTTGGCAAATTGACAAGTTGCTGAATAAAAAAATTCCCAACTACTGCAAGTGGTTACCTCTGTCTTGCTGAAAAAGAAAATAACATATTAGAAAATTAGAACATATCCAAAAACAAAGTAGTTTTAAGTTAGTAGTTTAGACAGAAACAGAGGGTAGCAGAAGGAGGAGTGCAGACTGTCACTCGGGCAACTGTATCACTTGCCCAAGTGAGTAGACAGAATTTGCTCTACTACATTCTTCACCCCATTCTGTCCACTATCTTTTGCACTGTATTATGCTGAATCTTTTGTCTTTTGTTGCCCTTATGTTTAGATCAATAGACATGAGTAGCTAAACTCATTCTGGGGTTTAATTCCAGCTAAATATATGTGAATGTTTTGATTCAAAGTTCTTATATGAAGCATTGTATCTAGTTTGCATGTTTTAATTAACATTTAGTTAAATTGGCCACTTAACTAATTGTGCATGCATAATTATGGAATCTTGAGAGAGTGAACATAATTTCATAAATGCGTGAACTAGTCTATGACAACGGGGATAACAACCGTTGGTTTCAATCATCAATGAGAGTTAGTTGATTGGCATAGGAGATCACTAAGGCTTAGGAAATCAATAGCTCGGGGGAATGAATAATTATCACAGAGATGGAGGTAATTTGGTTACGTTGGGACTCTTTACTGGTACCGAAGGTAAAGGTAGAGAATACATGTGCCTGATCAGACAATACTCATATGTGCAAAAAGAACTATAAGAATCAATAAATGATCATATAGATATGAAGGAGGATGGTCCTAGTTCTTTAACACTCTGCCAAATGAGTATCTCACTTTCCCAAGTGACAATCTGTTTTATTTACTTTTCATGTTTACACTTTGATCAGATTTTATTGATTTACTGTCGTCCTTGTGAATCGATCCTGCTTACTGCTAGCTAATAATTTGGAGGGATGTAAACAAATTCGTCCTACCACCAAAGAACATGGCAGGGAAAGAGGAAAGACATTGATCTTGTTTACGGTTATTGAGTTTCCAATTTTGAACAACTACCAAGGTATTTTCTTAGTTTATTTTTAATTTATTTAAATTTATCAATTTTAGTTTGATTTTTAATTTATATAAAATTTAGGTGTTTTTTTCCGCCCTTGTGAGGAGCAATTCAGGCACCATTATAGAATGAGAATGGCAACTGGATTGGACCACAAAAGAGAGGACGTTCAAATATTTTTTCTGGGCATTCAAGCATGCAATTGAAACGTTTGCTAAATGCCCCTTGTCATTAGCATCAAAGGGACGCATTTGCGTGGAGTATGCAAAGGGAAATTACTGACTGCGATGATCAAAACTTCAAATAAATGCATATTTCCGATCGCATTTGCACCTGCGGATAAAGAGAGTGAGGGTAACTGGACATTCTTTTTTAGAAATTTGGGGCAACATGTTGTACTAGATAGAGTGATTTGTGTTATATATGACCGGCACAAGGGCATTATCAGTGCAATGTCCATATGGAAGTATGGAATGTTCCAGGGTTAGTACATAACAAATTTTGTTTTCGGCACGTACGCATCAACCCGGTGTCTCAATTTCGAACCAGGAAGATTAGGAGATTGTGTTGGGATATGGTATCAAAACTTTCAATGATCAACTTCAGAGAACTCAGACAGGAGCTACGCGAATACAATGAAGAAGCCTATTTGTATCTTCGGGAGATTGATGCAAGCCAATGGACTCTTGCAAAAGACAAACACTATCGTAGGGGTAATCTGGCGACCAACATTTCTGAGATTTACCACAATGTCCGCAATGGTGTTCGGTTCTTGTCAATCCGAACTTTGGTGGAAGCCATTTTTGTCAAAACTGTGGATTTGTTCTGTGAAGAATATGAAAAGGCGATGAAATGCATCACGCCACTGTGCACTGACTTATGGGAAGACTTTGTTAAAGTCGAGTCCAAAGCTGCAAAACACAAAGCCAAGCATTACGATGGTGTGAATGGTAAGTTCAAGGCGACAACCAAAAATTGGCCAAGTGGTAAAGGCGGAAATGTGCAAACTGTGTGGTATTAATTAACATGTGTTCTTGCAATAAGTGGC